GAGGGAGCCGGGGGTGTGAGGTGCAGGGGGGGCATCACTGGGGGCTGCCCCCAAGCGCCAGGAAACGCACGCCCCGGCGGAAGCAGCCTGACCGCAGGGTGACATCTCAGAGTACATGTATTCCCCGGGTCGGGCCAGCATGCAGCGACTTCCCCTGTGGAAAGCCCGCTTCCCCTGCACAAGGGTGGCTCTCAGGAGCTACTGCCTCTTCTCAGAAGTGGCCCCACAGCCTCGGCCCCCTCTGCCAGCCTCAGATTCCTCCTGGGGTCTCAGAGGAGGCCCAAGCAATGCATAATACTTTGCTGGAAAATGACACTCCTGACAACCTCTCCCCTGCCCATTTTAAGTCTCCTGGGGAGGAATGAGCTGCTGCCTGGTTGTGTAATAGATGGGACACAAGTGCAGTTTGGGGGCTGGACAGGGTGTTTTTCCTCTTTCTGTTGCCTAATTTTGAAGCCAGGCAGAGGCGATGCTGACCAGGGCATCTTATTCAACACATGGGCTGTCAACCTGGACTGTGACAACTCATTGACAGCCCACGCCAGCACAAGGGCCACCGGCACCCTGCCAGCCTCCAACAGAGCCTGGAGGCAGGAGGGAGAAGACCCAAGGGGAAGGTCACCCCCCCACACCCGCAGCCACAACACATACCTGGTCATAAGCAGGTTTGTGGTTGGTGCTCTGCTTCTCACAGTGGCTGGCAAGGTTTCTCTCTGCCTCAGTCCTCTCCAGGGAAATGAGTTTCCCATCCACACAGCACTCAGGATATTGTGAGTTAAAGGTTTCATATCCCCCTAGGGAGAAAAAGGGAAAAAGAGAAAAGAAGATATGAATGTTTGTGCTTCCAAACACGGTTTAATTAAGCAGAGGAGAAATGAGGCTCAGTTGCAATGCGGTGGGATAGCACTGCACAGCGATGGGCTCCAGGGGGTTAATGAGGCATAGTGCTCCCCTGGGAAATGCCTTTGTTTAAAAGGCTTCAGGCACCCAAAGAAAAACCTCTGTTACTGCTGATAATTATTAACTTGCCAAAAGCTGGAGGATCCAGATTAAAACTGTTAGTGAACGTAATTCTGTCGAATCTATCAACCATTAACTCCAGTACAGCAGGGACTAAACTCCCTCCCACAGGTTTTTATATAAGAGCGGTGTTTCTAGTGTTTGAGATGGAGATTTCTGTACTTAGGACTCATCTTCTCTGTCATTACTGTTTATACTGTGACAACATAAGAAATATTTTACTTGCATTTTTGAATGGACAGAAGCACAAGAGGGGGATGCTTGCAACTGTGTCATTAATCACTACAATGCACGAGACAGCGAGGTAATGAAGACAGTCCCACTGAAACCAATCTATTAAATAACAGCTATAAAACTTAATGAAATCCTGTGACAGTATTTGACAACTGAATAGCCCCACATGAGCTATACTGTACGGTTAAGTACTGCGTTCATTTCATTCAGTGCACTGCTAATGAAAAGGAATTAATCCTGTTATTACATTGTTACTCAAAGTTTGTCGTCAGCTAAATCGTTGCCTGTTTCCAGGCTGGGAATACACTGCACGGAAACACGGGATCTCTAAAATGAATGTGAATAAGTCAGGTAGCAGAAGCAGCCTGGAAACATCAGTGACATGCCACATATCTGCCACCTGTGCTCTTTCAGAGCCGAAATGAATTACGAAAGCTCTTGAACAGCTAGATTCAATAATCCTCCAGAGCAGGGCCCTCAAGTAAACAAGGCTCAGAAAGCAAAACCCCCAATGTGATTCATTCACTTGCAACTGTTTCACCCTGATAAGCGGGGTCAGTGCGGGTCCCCCCATTCAAGGAAGGGTTTCGAAACAAAGGAAGCGCTGGAGATCTGAGCAGCCGCAGGGCCCCTTCCACGGCTGCCTGGTACCTTGACATTTCAGCCCTGTAACGCCGGTGTGTCATCGGTTTGCAATGTTTGAGCAGATGTGCGCTCCGATTCGTGACGTGCTGCCGTCACCCACTCAGCCCTGCCGTGGGGTCCTCGTATTGCGAGCGGCCGGCACGATCCAAAGCCCACTGAAGGTGATGAAAGTGTTTTCCATGACGGAGGGCTGGAGGGTGACTTGGCAGTGAGCTGGCACCCAGCACCTGTACCTTTCCTCCTACTCCCCAGCCGCATGCAGACAGCTCGCCCCAGAGCTCACAGTGGGTCAAGCAGCCAAGGGACCATGGAGACCATAAGGGGGGTGTTTGTGTCTGTGATAAAGTGATATCCGCAACAACTGGGTCGATAAAACGATATCCCTAACAACTTACAGTGTGAAAAGCCAGCAAACACAAGCAGCTCTCCACACTCCTCTGCTTTCCTGATCTCCAACTGCCCTTCACAGGGCAGACTTTTAAATCCTCTTGTTTTGCACAGCTGACCTTATCTCCCCCTGGCCCCCAACCACTGCCATCGCATAGGAAAAATATGTCCATCTTACATAAATAGCTATTATCCCCATTGACGCCCTGTGTTGTTGTTTTTACTCTTGAATGAACACAGAAATCCGCCCCAGCCAAATCAGCGTGTGTGTTCGAACAGACATGCATGGCTCATGTCTCTGGGGCAGCAAACGCATGCAGCTGGTGAATGGTTAATTACAAGCCTTGAGGATCAGGATATTTGCAGGCCATTCTTACAGTGAGTCATCTCCTCATCCCATCCTCCAGCAATCTCCTCTTCCCCCTCCCCACTCAACCTAGCTTCCCGGAGGTCATTTCTGCAAATACTAGATGGCTCATCGCAGAGAGCTGGGCTGCATTTCGGTTTTAATCAATAGAGAATAGAATCCTTGTCAGCACCAAGGGAAGAGCCGTTATTTTATCTTGCTGCATGATCTTCCCTCCACCACACAGCCACTCTCGCTGTGCTGGGGCTAAAACTCACCCAGAACGAAACTGCACCTACACAGATGAAAGATATGACGCGCTCAGCCCCTAGAAGAAAGAAAGTGAGGGAAGGGATAGGGCCTGGTGTGCAATTTGGCTTGTACTTGCCTACACGAACTGCCCTGCCTGGGGCCAGGTCCCCGGGGTGCTTGACACAGTGGGGGTGACTCTCTCATACTGCAGAATCATAGAACATTTTAGGTTGGGAGGGACCTTCAAAAACATCCAATTCCAACCCCATGCCATGGCCAGGGATACCTTCCACTAGACCAGGTTGCTCAAAGCCTTGTCCAACCTGGCCAAGGTGAGACCACCTTAGCTCTTAAGTGGCCAACACCTTCTCCCAGCTCCGCCACTCTTAGGGAGAACAGGAGTACAAAGGGAACCTCAAGGAGTTTTTTCCCCCGATGGTTTTACAGTCCGTTATTTGCAAAGCCGTTGTTACAGACTCCCAGAGGACCCCTTCTTCTGATCAGTGCACACTGCTTCAGGGTGATTTATATCCCCTCTGCACAAAGATCTTCCCCCCCAGACCACAACAGCTTCCCAGGGGTAGGTGGCCCTGGTGAATCACCAGTGCTGCCCACTGAGTCACCAGCTCCTCGGGCTGCACTGGACCTGAAACGGAGCTGTGGACTTCATGGGCCTGATCCTGACACCCAGAGCACTTCCAGCAAAAGGGAACAGCAGCAGGAAAAGGAGGGAATTTTCTCACCCATGAAGAGGGAATGCTTTCAAGGTAAGACACTTTGCAACACGCAAAAGGCACAAAGCAGAGCCTACAACAAACCTCCACCCCAGATAAACTGCCCACAGCCACAGTCACCACTTCAAAGCATGGGGCTGATCTATGAAGAGGAGAGGACGATCTTGTGGCTAAACTATCAGGCTGAGAGTCAGCAGAGCTTAAGTCAGCCCCTGGTTTGCCACAGACTTCCCGGCGTGACCCTGGAGGTGTTTTTTCATGTTGGGTTTAATGAGGTCCCTAAGGATTTGTCTGCCCCGGCACAGTGCAAGTATCCTTGCCTTACTGCAGCACAGTCAGTACTTTTGGGAGGGGGGTAGGGGGGAGAGGTGGGACCGGGGTAGGGTGGAGGTGGCCGGACAGAGCCAGCGGCGAAGGGGAGTCCCTCTCCATGGCATCGGGCAGTACTAGGCTGGAGGTGCCTTTACCCGAGCGGGGATGCCCTCTGGGCACTGTTAGTTATAGGAGACACAAAGTGGGCACACCAGGATAAGAACTGGCATGACAAAATGCTTAATAATGGTGAATTAAGCCTGGCCAGTGAGGACACACGGGCAGAGTTAATTCAAGAAACACCAGCGGCCCCGGGTGTGTGCGGTGGGACGGGCGGGCTCCGGGCATTGCCCCGCTACGGGGCGGGGAGGGGGCAAGAACAGCGACAGAGAGGGCAAAGGGACAAAGGTGCTGCCTGGAGAAGCGGAGGGAGGCAGGGGAAGATCAAGCTGCGATTTCTTTTTATCGTTTTATTACCCCCGGGTTACACGGAAGGAAAACAAAGAACCGTAATCAAAGGGCTATAACACACGTGAGGAGGTATTTCTGTCCCCCAACAAGCCCCGGAGTTTCGGCTATGGGCTT